AGAGGTAGCGGGGTAGAAAGTGTGGTGGGAGCCCATCCGGTCAGGTGCAGAGGTGTCTGGGGAAGAAGGTGGTCTGCATCCCTTCCCAAAAGCAGCCTTGGGATGCTCTGCCCGTAACTGGGGCGCCTTGGCCTAAAACACTTCATCCCTCGCTGGGGATGGCATTGATGCTCTTGAGGAGAGGCCCCCAGCCTGCTCCGTCTGGTCCCCGGCTTGGAAGCCGGCCTGCAGCACAGCGGGATCTTAAACCATGGAGTAGGGGTGCGGGTGTCTGGGCACACGGGTGGGCGCGGGGTGCGCCTGGGTTTGCCTGGCCAGGGGCTGTCCCCTGCACCTCCCAGGCTGCCATCCCTGCCTCCTGTGCTAGCAGGTGGTTTCTAACCAGAACTTAAGCTCGCGTGAAAAGATCTGGAAGACCACCGAGGTAAGTATTTTTAAGCCTTACGGGCTTCAGCAACTTAGATGGCTGAGAGCTGTACACGTGTTCTCCTGTAATCTGCTTGAAATAAAAACCAAACTGCACTGAGTTGATCTACCATCAGTGGACACGAAGGATGATGTTCATTTAGACAAAAATTCAAAAATTCATGTTCTCCTGTGAATGTCTGCATTTGACCAAGATTTGCTTTTTTTTTCTTTTTTTTTTTTTTTTACTTTTGTAAACAGAGAAGGGGGGGAGGAACGTGATAAATGACTTTATGGTGTTAAAGCCCTTTTACCGTCCTTGTTGTGATAGTATCTTAAGTCGCGTGGATCCCTGCGGGTGATGACAAGCTGTTGTGGCGCGGATTGTTTGGGTAACCAGGCAAGTTGGTAAAGTCAGGCCAGGCCTGTATGTTAGGAATGTATATTGAAGCCAGGTCCTGTAAACACTCGCGAATGTGTGGAGTCTTGTTGCTAGGGCTTTGCACAGAAATAACGAGACACGCATGAATGCCTCTTTGAAGTCCGAATGTGCTACCTGGCTATTTGGAAGCCAGGAGGATAGGCGAGGGTATCATTTCCATAGTTGGTGATCTTCAGCCTTGGGATTTTCATTTCTGAATAAATTCACATCTTTGTATGGCTCGTTTTGGAGGATAGCCAAGTAGACCTATATTGTTTATGTGCGTAGATTTTTGTGGCTCACACAAAGATGTCTATTGTTTACACAGAAACTGTAAGAGGAATGTTTTGTTAACATTTTGTTAGCAATACAAACTGATAAACACAAATGCAGACTAGGAACTTGAAACAAAACCAGCCCTTCTTAGAGCAGAAAAATACAGCTGCCAGAAAATTGTTTTCCAAGGAAAACTATGCACCTTTTGGTTTTACGTGTCTTTTAAAACTCAGCTTCTGTTGTTTACATGCATCTAAATCTTCTACTGCATGTAACTTTTGCAGCAACTTCGTTTCATGCCTGTGTAGCCTTCTAAGCAGCGTTCCTTTTGCTAAACAAGGTTGGCTGAATTGTGATTTCTTTTAATTACACTTGAAATTTGTTTTTACATGGGTGTGTCCCTGTTACATTTTCAAATTCCTGAGCTGACTGCAATAAATTTCCCTCTCCATTGTCAACATGTGTCTTTTCCATTCAGACTGACTGCTGCCTTCTCCTTCCCTTAAGAAACTTTAAATGGCTTGAAATAGTATGACCAAAAAACCTCTCTGTTTTTAATATTCCATGTTTGATATTGTGTGTGCAAATATTCCAATTTGGAATTTTTACTTAAAAAAATTCCACAGCCTACATGGAAAGTAGTTACAAGATATTCCAATTTGGAATTTTTACTTAAAATTCCACAGCCTACATGGAAAGTAGTTACAAAGCTTTGTAGGGTCCTGCTTTTCATTGTGGAGTACCTTGAGTTAGTGGACCCTAAATGCAAATTTGCAATCGTGGTAATACATATGAATGGCTTTTAATCTCATTTGCACTGTTTCTTAGCCTTGTGTTGTCCAATATCTAAGGAGTAAATTGTTCCAAGAAGCATTTAAAAGCATTTGGTATTGTAGAAAGAAGAGATCCGCAGTAGTTTGGAAACTCCATGGTGGCTGAATGTTTCATTTTTACCGTATCAGTAATGATGGCTAATAGGTATTCATCAGATTATACAGGTCCAGTAGAAGAAAGTCAGAATTTCAGTACTTGCACATCTCCTTATCCACACCAACATCTCTCTTTTTAGAATTATTATTAATTAAGTGCTTCGGCACTGTGGTTTTGTGCTGTTTCTTCACCTTATTTCTTGGCTTGAGTATTTCTTCCTGTCATTCGTGGATTCTTGCTTTCGTGACTAGTAGCATAAAGTTATATTTGAATATCATAGTTACCGTCTTACATTCATTATTTCTACGTTGCCTGATCGTCTCTCAATGAGTATTCGTATCTGACTTCTATTTGATGATTCATTGTAAATGTTTACAGGTATCTTTTTTCCTTTTTTCAGCTTTCTCCATTGACATACAGAAGAATATATGCCAATTCTGCCACAAGTCACAAGTATGGTGTTTATTTTTTTTTTTATTATATATGTTTTAGGAAGCAGAAAGTGAACTGTTTGGTTTATGTCTTCTGTAGCGCTTAGTACAGTGAAATTCTGTTCTGCAACTAGGCTGTGTAGGGAGGACAGTAAAAATGCTGATGTGGAAAACAATTTTTAATGCTTCTACAAATTTTTTTACGGTTAGTTTATTTCATAAGGCTTTGATTTTTACAGCTACCTCAGTGTGACTGTATCCTTGCACTTACGTGGCTATTCACTGAGATCACTGACTCTTCTGTTTGTACATGGAGATCTTTAACAGGATTAATTGGAATTAGAGTTCTGTGGCAAGACGTGATTGGAATCAGACTGGGTGGAAAGAAATTTCAGGTTTAGGAAGGTGTTCTGGCATGCAGATGGTTTTATCATGTCCCAAGAACGGATTATGTGTTTTGTTGCCTAAAGCTTCAGATCACGAGGGTATTCTTTGTTTTAAAATAGATAGTCTTTTTCCAATTTAGGTGTTTGCTTAGTAGTTGTATTCTAGCAGATTCTGTAGGTGTTTTAGGATGATGTCTACTAACACTAACATGTCAGAATTCCAGTGTAACTTGGTTAGATTAAAATAGGACAGAAGAATTCCCTGGTTTTGAGTTCCAGATTCAGTAATGTTTCTGTCCTTTTCTTTCTGTTCTCTTACAGGAAAAATGATATTCATCCAGCATTCCTGAATAATAAGAATGGGTCCAGATGTACCTCTGCTGAATGATTACAAACAGGAATTCTTCTTGAAGCGCTTTCCACAGACTGTGCTGGGAGGTCCCCGTTTTAAATTAGGCTATTGTGCCCCTCCTTACATATACGTGAATCAGATCATTCTTTTCTTGACGCCATGGGTTTTGGGAGGAGTAGGAACACTTTTGTACCAATTAGGCATTATGAAAGACTATTATACTGCAGCACTTTCAGGAGGACTGATGTTTGTTACTGCACTTATTCTTCAGATGACAAATCTATATGCAAAACAGAAAACAGTAAGAGTAGAAAGAATGCAAATTCAGAATACCCTAACAGATGAAGATGAGTTTGAATTTTCCAGCTGTATAGGTTCAGAGACAGTAAAATTTATTATTCCTGGCAAGAAGTATATAATCAACACTGTATTTCATTCCCTTCTGGCAGGGGTATTGTGTGGGTTGGGAACTTGGTATTTGCTGCCAAACAGAATAACCTTGCTGTATAGCAACATTGGAGGAACTGTTATCATCTTTGTATTTGGATGGGTGACTATATGTATAGGAGAGTATTCGTTAATCATAAATACAGCTACGGAAACAGCTGCTTTCCAAGCACTGGATACTTACGAAATCACTGCCCTGATGAGACCTTTCTATATTTTTGTCTTTATTGCAGTGGATCTTGCACACAGGTAAACCTAATGCAGCATTTAGCTAATAAAAGTAATGGTTATTCTATGTATTTTTGATGAGAAAGGTGAATTGATTCTTCTGCGGAAGATTTTAATCAACTGTAGGAACTCCAAAGAAAGAAGCTAGAAGAGTAGACGGTAAAAATTGATGCTCTACGCTGTGCAGAAAAGGTTGTTGTTAAATTTTTATAGCATTCTACATAAATTAGGAAGAGCAGTTTCTAAGCAAGGGACAGCTAAAATTATCTTATAGTGTGAATTTCAGTATTTTTGTACAAGAGCATTTGCATCAACATCCTTTTAAAGGGTATGTTTTCAAAAAACATATTCCTGATCTGGAACCATAGATCTAAACACTGCAAACTTAAGGAGCACTAGATTTATATCCGGATTTTATCCTGGAATATTTTCTAATTTAATCTCTGCAAAGTGATTGCAGAGGATTATAAATTACAGGCAAAAGAGGACCCTAAATTTGGTTTTAATGAGTGGATAAACAAATGTGAATGTCGCTATATCTTTGTTTTGAACTTAGATTTTTAAATGCTTTTGTAATACAAAAGAACTGTGTCAGTCTACAAATAGAAGACTTTTGTATTTCCACTTTTCAGATGAGTGTCTTAGCTAAAGTATTTGTAGAATCTAAAAGCAAGATGCTTTTAGATGTACTTTATGCATTCTTTCTCCCTGTTGGGTGATATTTATATCACTTTGTCATGTGTACATATTTTATGGTTGGGGTATGTCAAGTGCTTAAAAAAAAAAAAAGGCGTGTTTTGATTTTACTAGTTTGGCACTTGGAGATGTCTTTGTTAGTGATTTGCCCTAGTTGCCTCTTTAATTATGATATGAAAATTACGCTTGTAGTCTTGGACCCTAAATTCTTCTATCTAATTTCCTGAGGAGAAAATTCAGGCATTCTTTAAATTCCTGACAAAATTCCCTTGAAGCTTGCTTGCTTATTTAGTAAGAAGTAGAGAGAAACCAGATACCTTGGCAGTCCACCTTTAACTTAATTAGCTAGCAGGTGAACTACATAGAGCTTAGGATTTATGCAGATTTCTAATACCGGTCTTTCTATTTTTACAGGAAGATTTTAATGCTTTTATGTAGAAACTAATATTTTCTATTCCTAAAGAGAGCTCGTCTCTTGGTGTACAGGCAACATGCCAGTTCTTTCAGTGTTAAGGCTTACATCTTGGGTCTTGGACTTCCATAAAATTTTACTTTTGTAATTCTGAAAAAATACGTACCATTTTTTTGTTCAATGGTTGAGGTCTTAGAGCCTGTGGACCTTGCTTTTTGCACAAGTATTTCTTGAGTGTATTATCACGACAGTATCAAAACAATTAGGATACTTGCATCTCTTGATGTGGCTGCATAATCTGAAGGCTTCAAATCTTTTGAATGAAAAATTAGCTTGTGTTCTGATGTTCTGATTAGTGTATTGCTGCCCCAAGCATAAATGTATGTCCTTAATTTTCCTTTTTTTAAAAGATACTCGTTGAGGTTTTGTAGATTGAATATATAATGCTTATACCTCTGGATTTGCTGTAATAGTGAAACAAAAAGTCTTCCCACGCTTCAGTTATCTTTTCCTTCACAGAAGTCAAATACATTTCTTCTTTTATCCAGGTTTGCTGTGAACACAGCCATTCTAGAACAGACAAACCAGATTTTGCACATCATATTTCTTTTTCTGCCGTTCATATGGGCAATGGGAATTCTGCCCCCGCTTGACGCACTTTTTCTGTGGGGAATGGAACAACTGTTGGAGTTTGGACTAGGAGGTTCACCTATGTCAAGTAACACAAAGTAAATGTTTATATAATTGTAAAATATATCAATATTGTTTATAACCTTTTTCTTTTCAAGCAAATCTTTTTTATTTTCTCCTTCACAGGTTATTAGTAATGTTTCTCATTTCTGCTGGAACAGCAATAGCATCGTATTTCATTCCCAGCACTCTCGGTGTGATCCTCTTCATGACTGGATTTGGGTTCATACTGAGTCTTAACCTAAGCGAGATTGGGTTTGCCTTCCAACACACCATGATCAGCCATTTAGCCTCCAGCAAATCCAAAAATATGCACAGAGGTCTTAGAATGCAATTTGGGTGGAGGGAATTTATTTTTTATTTGACTGTGTTGACATTTGCTCTCATAGAAGCTAGCCTGCTGCATCAATTTGCAGGCTTTTCATCATTTTCCAAAGCCAGTCCTCAGGCTATAGCGAGTTACATCCTGATCATATTACTTATAATTATGTGGATTCTTAGAGAGATTCAGAGAGTGTACTTGTTTGGAGTCTTCCGAAACCCCTTTTATCCAAAGGATGTCAGGACTGTGACTGTGTTCATGGAGAAGCAAAGAAGGCTAATGAAAGTTGGTGTTGTCAGGAGGATTTTACTAACACTAGGTAGGAATACGCAATGTCTGTTGTTTGTTAGATGATGCTTGTAGGAAGATTGAAACAACGCTAGAATCGCTGTTATGTGCAAGATTCTGTGAATGAACTAAGAAAAACCAAGTAGCTGGAAATACGTGTTGATGTTTTGCTAAATTGTGCATTGAGGTCAGAATTACTGGTTCAGAATATTTGGAAGTGATTAGTGATTTTTATTTATTTCTTTTTTAGGGGTAAACCTAAAAAGTTGAGCTTTTTAAAAGTCCAGCTCAGAAAGCAAGGCCTTTTAATGGATTTTAGTTAAAACATCAGTACTCATTTTTGAAAAAATGGCTCTTGCAGATTTTTTAAAAGGTACTCGGAAACAGAGTCTTCAAGCTGACTAAATACTTGGTTCTTACAACTTGCTAGTAAAGGGAACAGTCCCCTTTCTAGTAGATTAGGAACAAATGCGTCCACTTTGGGGGAACCAAAATTTGATCTAAATTACTTAGTTTTATAAAGAAGCATCAGTTTGGGGAAATGGATTGATGAGTGCTCTTCCCATGTTTATTTTTACTTAAGTTGAGTATTCCCATTCTCTTGGGGAAACAAATGACAAAAAAGTAATAGCAAGTAACACCTAAGCATTGACATAAATGTTTGCCATCTTGGGCCATTAGTGCAAACACACTGTTTGATATCCTGGAAGTATAATACAAAGAGGAGCTTGTAATAATGAAGGCAAGAGTTCTCTTTTTACGCCAATGTTTCCATTCTGCAATAAGACTGCTTACCTCTGTAGACTTTAATTATGTTTTTGAAAGGAAATCAATGATTCTTTTATTTTAATTACAGTGTCTCCGTTTGCTATGATAGCATTCCTGTCACTGGACCGTTCACTACAAAATCTTCATTCTGTGTCTGTTTGCATTGGATTCACAAGAATATTTAGGATGGTAATTTGAATTCTAAATATGTTAACCTAAGAAATTCTCTTCTGCATGATTTAAGTATTAAGATGACTTGGAAGAAATATTCTAGGTCATGAAAGCAGAGATAGATAAATAAATTTTTAAATGTGTGTCTAACATATCTCTATTTTAGGTCTGGCAGCATACAGAAAATGCCCTAATGGACATAGTGGTTGTGTCAATAGCACAAATATTTGTGTTTAATCCAGACCTCTGGTGGAACAGGAGCCTTGATACAGGAATCAGACTCTTGCTGGTAATTCTCATAATGTGAATTTAAGCAGATAGTTGTCACTTAGAGTCTTTGTTTCCTTGCCCTCCCCTATTAGGGAGATACAGAGTCCAGGACCTCGCAAATAAAAGCGAAGAAACTGTGTACTCGGATGTACACTCTAGTACCAGTCAATGACAATCGCGCTTCATTTTCTTAAAAATATTGTAGATAAGGCAGCTTTGGCAGTGCTGAGTATGGTACAATACAGGCTACAAATAAACGTGCTTGTTGTGTGTATCTTACAGGTTGGTATCCTACGGGATCGACTGCTTCAGTTTGTCTCAAAGTTGCAGTTTGCCATAGCTATTCTTCTGACATCGTGGACAGAGAAAAAACAACGTCGTAAATCTACCGCCACCTTGATCACACTCAATGTCGTTTTCTTTCCGATCCTGCTGACCTTCGTTGCCATCTCTGCACTCCTTTCTTCTCCCTTGCTGCCGCTCTTCACGCTACCAGTATTTCTGATCGGATTTCCTAGGCCTATCCGAAGCTGGCCAGGACCTGTGGGCGCTGCAGCGTGTGTTTGCTCTGATACCGTGTATTACCAGCAGATGGTTCCAAGTCTGGCTGTGGCTCTGCAGTCTGCACTAGCAGCTGGTAGCCTAGGTAGGTATGCTAGCAACACTGTGAAGGAATGTAGCTAAATATTTTAGGAAACATGATTTTGCTGGAGAACAGGAGAATCATAGCATCCGACTTAAACCACGTTTCATAGTGAAGGTTAAATCTGATATTCAGAGATTGTTCAATTGAGGAAAAAGTGATTACTTTTATCCTTCTCATACCTCTCTATTTGTTACATTCTTGTTAAAAAAAAAACAAACAAACATATTCTGGTTTGTTATCTTTAAAATAAGGAGAAACCAAGTGGTGATAAAATGGTATCAATCCTTTTTATACTGAACAAAAAAGGATGGTATGCTTTCATCCCACCTAATTGGAGGCAATAAACTGAGGAGTTCTCCTGAGAGTCAGTGGAAAGAAGGAGGTGTGTCAAACTGCTCTTTGTGGTTGTGTATGTATGTGTCTTCCGCTGCATCAGTCCCATTACTCAGGATCCAGAAGGTGACCTTGCTAATTTGGCTGTGTTAATTAGATATGGTGAATCTTAGAACAGAACCAGTTGGTGAGACTTAATGTCGTATCTTGTGCAGGCGGTTAGGGTAGGATTGTAACAGGGCTTGTGGTCTTAAAGCCTGTGAAAGATGTCATGATGGGTATTTCACAGAATATAGAAACAGAGGTGAAGAAATGCCAAGTCTTTTTCCCAGCTGGAGCCAGAATAACTGCTAAAATTGCAAGCTCATTTACTTGAGAAACAATCTTTGTGTAACCTAAATAATCAAAAGATCCTTGCCCTTAGACGAGAGGCACATATTTACATGAGCCTCTTAGAAAACGGCTTTTGACTAGAAAAAATGGTCTAATATTTAAAGACAGTGGAAATTAACCTTAATCACACTTTTCTGAAGACTGTATGCAAGCGCCTTACTAGGAACCATTTGCTGCACTTTTTGTACTGGTGTAGAGGGAGGTATTAAAATACAAAACAGCTTTTTTCGTCTAAAGAAGAGAAACACTTCAGTTTGTCTACTGCATCAGCCTATGTATGTTTTACATATAACAGATAGATATATTTCTTAATAATATAAATATATCTATTATGTATCTGTAATATCTATCTATTTTATATCTATATATGTTATACATATATGTCCCCATTGTCACCACGACTGTGGTGGCATGTATGCCTCAGATTAAATAATTTAAAACACTAGTCTTGAGGGGGAAAGAAGTCTCCTCTTTAATGGGAAAATCCGTGAATTAATGTCTTCAAGCAAGAAAAAATGTGGTGTTCTCAGATGAGTTCAAAATGAAGAGGTACCACTTTGTGTCTCTATTTTAATTTAAAACCATACTTTTGTCTGTGTAAAGGAGTTTTAGTAGCTTTAACAGCTAGCAAGAAAAGAATTAAAATCTTTGCAAAATGTTAGCAAGAAAATGCACTTCATTAGCTCAGTGGGATAGAAAAGGTTACTTAAATTTTAACTACAGCTTAATGGTTGGTTTCACTGATTTCATCTTACAACATTCTAAAACTAAAATTCTCTGTGCAAGTGAGTGGTCACTTGGATATGTGTGACAGCAGAAGCAGGTCATAAACTGGCAGCAAATGTCACACTTAAAAACAGCACCATCGTATTGGAGAAGTTGACGGTAGGCTCTAACTTAAAAGAAATACACAGTATAACCAGCAGTTGCTAGGAAGTTTGGCATTGCACTTTTTATTGAAATAGGTAGAAGAAAGAAAAAGTACCTTTTTTTTTTTTTGGCTGTGTCATCTAATTTTTACAGTGAGAGCCAGATTGCGGGATTTTTGAGAACTAATTACTCTGATGTGTGATCTGAAGTTGTTCAGGACTTGATTCTCAAATTGCAGCTTATTTTGTGTAGCTGTATTTTTGGTGCTGTCAAACAATAGAGTGAGATCAGATTTATCCCCACCCCCAGGGTATTTCAGAAAGACTACAGGCGATTTCCACTGTATCTACTGTTAGTGTTCAATATTCATGATACTGATTCACAAATCTTTAAAGATGAGGAGGTGCTCTTGCTCTGCCTGTATTTATGTAAAATGGGTGTGATACGTCGTTGATAAGCTGACACTTGAGCAGAATCATTTACACTCTGGATTTTGCATCCTAAGGGATATTTTCTAACCATTCTAGAATACAGACAAGTCAATTTAGGAACTGGTAGTGTAGGTAACAAATCCTGCTGAGTTACGTTTTTATTTCTCCCTTACGTTTTTATTTCTCCCTTACCAAATAAACTTCATATTCCACAGCAAACTAAGATACTCGTGTGCTAGATGAAGATTCTTTAATGTGTTCGGCAGTCAGAGGAATTTTAGCACTCCAGGTTGCGATTGGAAATCCAGCCACAGATGATCTTTAATCATGAAAGTCACCTCTACAAAGGGAATTGAGGGTGGAGTTGCTTAACTCTGGTCCAGTATGAATATTGTAGTCCTGCAGTTGTGTGAGGGTTTTGCGGTTTTCCACAGCTTTTTCAAAAAATAGCTCTACAGTTTCAAGATCTAGCTTTGCAGCTAGTTTCTTTAAGATTCTAGGGTACTAGGTAGCCAGTTTTAACTGATTTTGATGTTGATGCAGAACTATTCTGTGTTGGCAGTTGAATTCCTCAGCTGGCACATAGAAAAGGTTTTCATGAATATAATACCATAGTTTTTGGTTTGGTTTTTTTTTTTTTTTTTCCTTCTTGTCTAGGTCTCTCTCCACCTGGATCACATTACTTGTGCCGTTTTCAGGATAGGCTGATGTGGATATTGGTGCTAGAAAAAGGCTTCACTTACTGTGGTGTTAACATTAAGGTAACTGCATGCTCAGGACTGATGTATTCATGTTTTGGAATCATGCAAACGTTTTGCTGTATAGCATTTCAGCAATATAATTTACCAGATGTTACAGTCAGTTTTTTAAGATGAGTGTTCCTGCTATATTAACTAGTCTTGCAACTGACATACTTAGCAGTTGTGAAGTTTTTTATCATCTAGCTTGTGACACAACATCTTTAATAAGCTGGTTAATGAGATCTGTATAAGGCAAATTTATTTTTTTTTTTTAAAGATACTGATCTGTGTCTAATATTGTAGTGAGTGCTCTGCTATTACTATTGTCTCCAGTTAAACCATGTCTTGGAGACATAGTTTAGTAGTGGACAGGCATGGTTGGACTCGATGATTTTAAAGGTCTTTTCCAACCAAATGATTCTATGATTTGTAGGTTCAGTTATGGAACCTACCTTTATTTGTTCAGAAAAATATTTGTTGCAAGAAACCAGCTTGCTAGCATTTAAGGATATGCGCTGGTGAAGACTAAACCCAAATTGTTTTCATCTATGCTTTAGGGACTAGAACTGCAGGAAACATCCTGTCATGCTGCTGAAGCTCACAGAGTTGATGAAATTTTTGAAATGGCCTTCGAACACCAGGAGCACACGAAGATTCTCTCTCCTAATCACCATTTTGGACACATTTTGACTCCTTGTACTGTTCTACCTGTGCGGCTGTATTCTGATGCCAGAAATGTGTTATCTGGAATAATTGACTCTCATGAGAATTTAAAGCATCTGAAAGATGATTTCATTAAAGTGCTTGTATGGATGCTTGTCCAGTATTGTTATAAAAAATCAAAAACCTTGGAAAGCCCAGTCAGTGCCAACAAGAACAAAAAAGGATCATTTCCAGAAAATCAGCATGGCACTGCAGTAGAAAGATCCAGGCCTCTGAGGGAAGAAGATAGCTTTAGCGTTGATACAATTGAGGACTGGACTGACGATAGTGACATTTTTGATCTTGAACCCAGTGGCAGAATGAAAGACAGAAAAGAACCTGGGCAGTTGGGAACTACACCGAAAGTGCATCTGTCTATTCCAGGATCTGTTGAAACACAGAGCCAAGACATCCCACCAAAAATGTCACCAGAAGATAAATTATACAGGGCTGTTGTGCTTGGGCTTCCTGCTGTAGACAAAGGGAAACAGCACAAAGTTTTACCTCAGGTTGAATTTAGTTGCTGTTACTCAGAGCTATTGAGCATCCCTGAAGAATGGAGAACAGCCCCAGTGCCTACTTCCAAAGTCAACGAAATGAGGCAGAGGTTTCCGGAAGAATGGTACCATTTCATTTTGAGTCAACTGGACTTTTTTCATCTGAAAGAAAAGCCTTCCAATTTACTTGACGACCTTATGAAGGACAAAGCTTTGAAGGACTTGTACGTCCATGGTGTATTGTCGTGTTGTTTTGGTCTCTTTGGACTGGATAACACCGTGCCTGCCCCGAACCATGTATTTAGAGCGTACACTGGTGGTATTCCGTGGTCTGTTGGGTTGGACTGGCTAACCGGCAAACCAGAGCTATTCCAACTTGCATTAAAAGCGTTCAGGTAAAAGCAAAATATCCCCTCAGATTATAGAAACAATATAGAGAGTCCTGTGCTTTGAAAGTCAGTATCACTTCACTAAGAGGAGTTCACGTTAAAACCTTATCATTTAAATGTATTTGTAGCTTCTTCCTACACAAATATTGCCTGTAACCCCAGGCAGTGAAGGCTGTGATAGAGAGATTCCTTCCTTCTTCCCTTCCCTGCAGGAGTTGCCTCCAGCACTGGAAATCCACCGTGTGAAGTGGGGAAAAAAAACAACCCATTTTTGTTGTCCCTGTGATCGTAAGAGAATTGCAATGGGGTTAGGTGTTCGGCGCTTTCTATTATCAGGCAGCAGTAACAGTGTTTGAGGTGAATGAAAGCTGTTTAAGCTACTGTGTTTGACAGCTGGGTGAGCTAAAAGCATACCCGTACTAACTTGTAGTGACTCTGCTGACAAGCGGTAACTTGCCAAGTGGCTAGGGCTTGATAACATTTGATGGTGCCTTCCTGCCTTTTCTAGCCTGAAGAGGATTTCTTCCTCCTGTCCTTTGTTGCACTACTTACTGTGTGGCTTCTTGTACCTTTCAGATACACTTTTAAACTTATGGTTGACAAAGCAAGCCTGGGTCCAGTCGAGAACTTCAAAGAGCTGGTTAACTACCTGGAAGAATATGAAAACGAGTGGTACATTGGGCTGGTGTCAGATCTTGAGTGGCAGCAAGCAGTTCTTCAGGAAAAGCCATACCTTTTTGCACTGGGCCACGATCCAAACATGGTAAGAAATAAAATGACTGGTAAGCAAGATCAAACTTTGGGTTCCGTTTCCACTGCTTTTTTTTCTTTTTAATTGTGTTCCAGTACCTGAAGGCTGTGCAACCAAAGTTTGTTTGTACTAGACAGGAGCTGCCATTGCTGTTGTTGAAAATGACACTGTGGTGTTCTTCAGGTGCAGCGATATTCATAGAATCATAGAATGTTTTGGGTTGGAAGGGACCCCTAGGGGTCATCTAGTCCAATCCCCCTGCAGGAGCAGGGACACCTTTAACCAGATCAGGTTGCTCAGAGCCCCGTCCAACCTGGCCTTGAATGTTTCCAGGGATGGGGCCTCCACCACCTCTCTGGGCAACCTGTTCCAGTGTTTCACCACCCTCATTGTAAAGAATTTCTTCCTTATATCCAGTCTAAACCTACCCTGGTTTAGTTTAAAACCATTACCCCTTGTCCTGTCACTGCTGGCCCTACTAAAAAGATTTTCCTCATCTTTCCTATAGGCCCCCTTTAGGTACTGAAAGGCCGCAGTCAGGTCTCCCCTGATTATTTCCTGACTATCTTCCTAGATGGAAGAATTGAACAGAGGAGAGTAGTTAATTTGCCATTTTTAAAGGGACAATATTCATAGTGCGTGTAGCCCCAAAGCTTCACTTAGTGCTTTGTAAGCAAAACGCGTGTGTACCTTCTCCGAGAACGTACTGAACATTTTGATCTGTTTGTTCTTCAAGGGAATTTACACTGGGCGAGTCCTCACTCTTCAGGAATTGTTAGTACAAGTGGGAAAACTTAATGATGAAGCTGTCCGAGGTCAGTGGGCGAACCTGTCCTGGGAGCTGCTGTATGCTACAAATGATGATGAAGAACGCTACAGCATCCAGGCACACCCCGTTCTTCTGCGAAACCTTACTGTGCAAGCTGCTGACCCGCCTCTTGGCTACCCCATTTATTCATCTGAACTTCTGCATCTGCCTTTGTTCTAGAATGTCTGTAGCACTTTTTTTTTTTTTTCCCATTATTATTATTTTATATTTTCCATCTGCCTGTTGGGAATCAAATGCCCATGCTACATTTATACACTAGAGATAAGATTTTACTCCCAGTGTCGTTGGATGGCAGCGCCAAGCCAGCGTACGTGATTTGCACAGAAATGGTGCTGGCCAGAACCTTCAGCAGGCAGGAAGTTTTGAACTGTTTTCTTGCTGCTGGAACGTGTGAGACACCATTGCCTGTGTGGCTGACAGGCCAGGAGATGCTGAAATTCTCTTCTCCGGTTTAGAGAAGAGCGGCATAATTCTGATCACTAACTACTTTTGGTGCATTCTGATTTTTTTAATATTTTTTTTTTCTTATTAATAGTTAGACAGGTGACTTGCACTGACAGGTTACAGCTCACTGTAGTACCGTCAACCACAAAGTTGGTAACCAAAGTGTACATATGACTTATTTATATGATTTTTTTTTTTTTATTCTGGCCATTTTATATTGGACTGCATTCGATTTTAGCATTTATTATATTATATGACTTTAGCTGATCTTCCTTAGTTGTAATAAGTTATCAGCTGTGCTTTTAACAAACTTGTAAGGGATGATTTTTACCAAAGTACTCATTTGGGGGGCAAAGAGAATTTATATAAAGCAGTGTGCATTCCGACACGTGAATAACCTGTGTGACCTACTGAGGAAAGGAAATGTGTAATTAGGGGGGGGAAGGAATTTCAGTCCAAATGGATTAATTTTATTTCCTTCTTGCAATATCCCTGGATTATATATATATATATACATATATATGTTGGTTTTTGCAACCTATGTCTACATCACTAAGCAGTCTTCCACAAATACAGTGAGAGCTTGACAATGATGATGGGGCGGGGGGGGGATCCAGCTGTCTGTGCCAGAATTAATGTGGTGTTTTGTTTTGGTTTGGTTTTTTTTTTTTAGCCTCCCCAGAGGTTAGAGCAGAATTTGGCAATTGGTTTGTAATATTACAGGTCTCCTTGAAAACAGTTCTGGGTCATCTCTCCAGTGGCTTGTTTATCCTGTTCGTTACCACCAGTCATTAGCACATAAATGTGTTTTCTCTGTAGATCAGTAGTTACAGTGTCCTTACTGCTGGCACGTGCCAAACAGGGTCTAGGTAATTGTCTTTAACTTGTAGAATCAATTTAAATCACATCTGCTCTGTAACCGAATTAGTTCTGGTTTAGAACACCCAGAGTTGTATAATTTGGAGCATGTTCATTCTTTTACTCCTCACCATTAAGACGTTTTTGTATCAGATAAAATTTGTCACAGGACTGCGTACTGTGTACTTGGCTACCATCCGTTTCTTCTGATCAGTGACCAGAAATGATTTTTAAAAAAAAAAAAAAAATACACAAACCTTGTTGTGGAATTCAGAGGTGGTAAGGAAACATCTGTCAAACTCTGTGGTACAACGCTTCAACGTACAGGATGAAATGGCTTGGTGTGCGGGCGTGTGAATCACAAAGTGCTGATAATCCAAGATCACCTTGCTTGGCCACGAACTGTGTCTGGAAATACAGCGTCGTGGAAACGGGCTTTTGGAGAGCGCCTACTCCAGCTCCCTCTCAAAAGGAACTACTCCTGGCAAATGTTTTATCTGATGTAAAGCTTTCAATACCAGGGGTACCGTGAACTCGTCAAGTAGTTTGCTCCGGTTTGTTGCTGTTCTTGCAGCAGTTGGAAAGTTTGGGGGCTTTTGTAAATCTAATTAAACCTCCCCGCCTCATTGCAAGCCTCTTACCGCTTGTCTTCTGTATGGTCACAGAAAATTTAATTATTTTTTTTTTCTTGCAGCAGTCTTTTATTTGAAGGTGGCTGTAATGTCTGCCCTAATTCTTGGCGAATAAACTAGTTGAAAAAAAACTGAAGAGCGCCGTGATCCTCTTGCTTTCCTTTGGTTCTCTCCATCTGGTACCCAGCTGCCTTGAAAAGTGTTGCTGGTAACTGGCCCTGCTGTTCCAGCAGAGATCTCGATCGGTACCAGATGGAGGAACGGAATTAGCGGTGTGCGGAATTCCTGCTTGCGCACAGGAACGTGCAGTTGGGCTCAAGCAGGCAGCGCATCCTGCAGCCCCTTACTTGTCAATATACTGAGCCAGTTCACACGTTCCGGTGTGTTTTGCAACAGCGTGACCCCCAGTCACAGTACGGTTTTCTCTAACCTTCTCCCATTTCTTTTTTTGGCAGAACCACTGGTTCCAGCCTCTTGTGCGGTATCACAGGTTCGCGCAGCTGAGTGTCCCTGTTAAGCATGTTCTTTTCTTTGCGTGCTCTTGAACCGTGTCCCCTTTGGTTTGGAGCATTTCTCTGGTTTATCAGGAATTTAGAGCACCTTCAAGCCTGCTCCTGTCTGCAGCTCTCGTGAGCGTGTAACATACGCTGCTCTCTGGATTGCCGATGGGATGCTAGTACGGGCCTGGCGACCTAGGACGGAGCTTGTGACGGGCCACCACGCCACTTTCCTGTCTGACCACGGAGAACTGCTGTGTGTTTCCTACCCAGCTGCGTGCATCGGCTCAACTCCAATTCTTACCAACACCTACTTGCTTCGCAGATCGCGATGTTCATCGGGCAAAGGTAAGCGTAAGACAACTGCATCGTGGCTTTGGAGAAGGACCTTTATTTAACAAGCCCAGTTTTAAAGAATTTTTCAAACAAAGCGTGTGTTTACCCGTCTAGCAGCAACTGTCCTTGGCTCAAGCAAGAGAAGTGAACTCCTCTTTGAGCACAAAGCCTTACGCTTCTTTTGGTAGAGAAAAAAACAACAGCGTAGCCGGTGCATAAATGGGAGAGCAAGTCTCCCGCTGTCTGCAGCACTGGCAGCTCCTCCGTGGGTCAGGGGACGGGAGCTAAAGCACCCTGTGAACATCGTCTGCCTGTGCGGTGTGGTGGGAGCAGCCGCGTTGCGTCACGCAGACTTAACTGCTGCCTCAACTGTGGTTTGTGGAACGCACTCCAGGAACGCACATGTTAGCAAGTGAACGGAACCTTCTGTTCTTCAGACCAGCGTGACACCAGACGCTTGTCGTCACTTGATCAGTCTTTTTTTTTTTTTTAATTTCCATAGTTTGCATCTTTGTTAAATGTCGTGTTAAAAACATCACTCCTGACTTATTCTTTGCTATGGTTGGAAAGCTTCAATCATTTATAGTTACTCTTGTGTTACCACTCAATGATACAAGTAAGAATTGTTCTGAACTGGATGGTGTGTGGCCTGAGGTACATCCAGACGTTGCCGAGGCCTTTGTCAGCAGCGAGAAGGTCACCGAGCTTGTCAGCACAGATGAGTTACCACTGCACAGGGACTTCGAGCTAACGGCTGAATTGGGTGGCAATGGGAAGGGAAATGTTTTAACAAATCCAGTCCTCTGTTCCTCATGGCTGTTGCTGTCCAGTACTGTTGAGACTGGGCTCTGCCCTGCATGGGCAGGCCCATTTCTGACCCAACTGGGAACTCGGCTTCTATTTCACGCTTAAATGGCCTGTAACGCGACGTCGGCCCTACTTCAGCTCTGACATGAGTGCTGCTGTCTTGGCTGTAAGCAATCTGCTGTGAAATGGGTATCACGTTAATACCGTGGCCCCTCTTGTAGCCCGAGGCTGTCCTGCTACAGGAACGTTCCCCTGCTCCTCTCCAGGATGCTCTCGAGCTGTAACATGTGCCAGGTTCAGAGCAAGGCTGAGCGCTGCCTGCGACAGGGGTCACATCTACACCCTCCCGCTCTCCCTTCCCCACTGCTTTGCGGCCCGTGGGCTTTGCAAAACAACCTGGGGACTGTGGACTCTGCTGTGGTGCTAAGAGACCTAAAGATTATGTACATCTCTAGGTTGTGCCAGAAGGTAAGGGATCTAGGCCTAAATACACACAGAATACCAGGTTGGAAGGGACCTCAAGGTCCAACCTTTCCAGGCAAGAGCACAGTCTAGACAAGACGGCCCAGCACCCTGTCCAGCTGTGTCTTGAAAGCATCCAATGTGGCAGAGTCAACCACTCCCCTGCGCTGCGTAGAGAGGGATAATGACTTCTTTATCTCTGCTGGTGATGCCCCTTTTGATGCAACCCAGCATCCTATGATGCTGATAGACCACTTGCATAGCAAAGAGGAAACCTTTTCCCAAAGGAACCCTTCACAAACCCAGGCCGTGCATCCTTACCCTTCTGCTTGTGGGGGATTTCTTGTTCAGCGTCCATTAGGAATGAAAGCGAGGGAAGCCAGGTCCTGTGGGTATCTAACATTTAGCCTTGCTCACCAAGTATGTGCCAATGTCATAGCAGCAGAAGAACAAAATGATACTGCCTGGCCTCTTCCACCTCAATCCTTTTAAGCTTAAAAATTCAGCCTATGGGAGTTTAGCATGAAACAGGTATGTTTAGAAAGAGACTTTTATTTAGTCAAGTGTGTATACAGCGTGATAGATTTGTCAAGTTACATGATGACAAAGGTGCAACAGATAAAAAAAAGCTTTTGTTTGCAGTCACGCAATATGAAAAAAGTGTCTCAGCCTTAGCAGAAGCGGGATTTTGTACACATTTGTCCTTACTTCTTCTTTCTTGAGTAAGAGACATCCGCATCCTGGAGTGAGAGTACATTAAATCAGTATTTCCCCCCCTTATTTAAGTCCTTTGCCCACAGGGTTATTTTTGCTTGAAACAGCTGTGACAGGGGGCAGTTACAGTGTGGAAGCTGGAAGTCTGCAGGGGCACGTGCCACCCTTATCTTTGCATTTCCTGCTTTTGGAGTACTTGAATTTTTTTTTTTTTTTGTACCAAGTTGAACAAAAACACAGTAAGAAAAAAATACCCTCTACCAAACAGTATTGCAAGAACAGAGGCCTGCGCTGCCCCTCTGCCTTCTGGGAAGTGCGTATGAGTGAAGAGCTCTGACAGGCATCGCTTAACACAATTGCTTAATGTAGTTCTGGGAGGTGCTCAGATTACCTGCCTGATATAAAAACTAGAGGCAACCAAGGGAGAGATTTTCAACAGTCTTAATTTCAAGCTGCGTTAATAATTTATGCTAGTGACCTCGAGCTCAGGTCTGTGTTAGTGCTCAGTTCTGAACTTGCAGCCCGTGTGATGAAGAGCAGGGCACGACCTTCGGCGCTGCAAGATGCACCGGTGTCCCTGTCCTGCAACGCGAGCACACTGCAGCAATTCTAGACTAGCAGGCGTGCAGCCACAGAGCATCAGCTGCCAGGGAACTGAGGAGGGGAAATAGGAAATGGATCCAAAAATACAGTCCCAACATTCCCACAGCTAAAGAGTCTGTCAGAAGAGTGAAAAAGGAAAGGCAAGCAAGGGGAGGTGAGAGGACTGAACTTACCACTCCGCTCTTAAAGTTCTGTATCCTCTTCTTGCCCATTCTGTTCATCAGCCACCAAGCCCAGGTGGGCGCATACTGCCAGAGGTAGCAAACGGCCAGATAGGGGTTGTCACTGACCCAGGCCTCCTTCAGGTCATTGGCCACGCTCACCAGGGTGAGCCGGACGCAGCGGTCAGTTGGCATCTTGTGGGACTGATCACCGCTGTTCTCTATGGACTGGAGGGGAGAAAGCAGGAGGAGGATTTAGCACTGGATTTCTGTTTGTGCGAGAGAAAGGGCCAGGCTCCGTGCAGCAGTCCTACGCCTCCCGGCTTCTATGCCATGCACAAGGAGAATAACCCGGCCACTACAGCAGAGACTGGGGAACCCATCCCTCGCCACGCTAACCCCCACCGCCGTCCTTTAGCACACATGCTTAAATAAAGCACCCTTTCAATTAATGCCATGATTGATGGGTCAAAAAAAGGTTAAAAGAAAAAACTTGATCCCCAAACTGTCCTGCTTCAGCATGGCTTCTACTTCACCGGGAAACAGATCTACTAGAACGAATTACCCATGCTGCAGCTGAGGGCTTTGCACAATGGGAACTTTCCCGTTCCCAGCTGCCTGCCCCATTACATGCTACAAGCTACTCAGTAACCAAGGTAGGAGATGAAGGCACATTCCCTATTAACTTAAATATCCCTGCCAGCCCTGCTCTGGGAGCAGCCATCTCAAACAAAAGAAAAGCTGCTTCAGGGGCAGGGATGTCTTACTTGCAATCCTGTCCACACGTATCACTTCGCAAACGTAAGCCACAGCCCAGGGAATTTATATGCATTTCCCTCCAGCAATAAGACCGCTCTGTCAATCTGTTCTTCTACTTCCCAGAGCAAGAGCAATTCTGGCTAGATTCGGTCATCCTCCTAGGTCTTTTGCCACGCTGAAATCTGAAGAATTTGTTTTGCAAGCTTTCCGGATTGCTTAAGAAGTACATCTCTCCCTTCACAGAAGCATGAAGCTTTGCAAGCCAAAAATCCTTTCAGAACTTGCTTCAGTAACAGGAGATCTCTCACGCACACACACACTGGTGAGTTATCCTGAGCTTTAAACCGATGGAATTTAGGACAGATTACATTTTGATGTATCATAGTAACAATTTTTGCCAGCTACTTTGTTAGACAGCCTTATTAAAAGCAATTGTGCAGTTGGAAGGTTTTGCTTTTTCTCCTTGAACAATCGCTAACAGAAGAATGCACGCCTCGCGTCAGCTGACGCCAGTGGCTTTGCCAACAGCACCGTCAACTGAACGGGGGACATCGTGACGAGGGCAAACAAAAAGCTACCTGTGCAGAAAGGACAGCCTTCTGCACGCAGAACTGTGTCCAGAAAATCCTGGCCTTTCCCCCAAAAGCGCAGCAGGGCGCCTGTACAGTAAATTTTACTAGACTTGGATTGTGTGTGATGGAAGAGAGAAGACCTAACAAGTCTCAAACTTTATTTTCATTTGATATGGACTTGATACCACAAAGAATTACGAGACTATACATAGTTCTGCACCAATCAAAGCATATCTTGGTAAGAAGATGAGGTTAGTGTTTGCTAGGAGGAGAAAAAGAAAAGAAAACCATGAAAGGATCACTGGGCCTGCAGCAAAAGTTGGATTTATCACAACAGAATAGAGTCCTTACCTTCGCAAGATTCTCCGTAAAGACGTTTTGTATAATCTTAGACTGTACAGGCCCTGGGCATATGTTGATAACACTTATCTCGGGGTAGTCAGTCAGCTCAGTCCGAAGAGAATTAAAAAAACCCTAGAAGAAAATATTATCATGTAATCGTCCTTTGCCATATTTCCACGTGTAGCAAGGTTTAACTATGTATTTTCATTCTAATTCTATGCCATAAAGATAACAGTATTCCACTAAAAGCAATTCCTACTACTTTGTTTGACTTTTCACATTCAATGGCCAATTTAAAATTTTATCTGCAATTACAGACATTGATATATAAATCACTGAGGAATCCATCCTTGACTTCTCAAATCCACAATAATTTCTCTAAACTGCAGTGCAGTGGCAGTTCTCTTGCAGGTGAGCCGCTCTTTCTGGTGACATTAAAGATTTTAAACTGTTTCTATTGAGTAAGCGGCACTGGTTTTATAGAAGAGAAAGAAGAAAACTTTTCAGCGTATTAAGTCAAAGGTGCACCCTGATATTTTAGGGGATAATTCTGCACCACTGAATTCACTGCAGAGTTTGAGATTTGCATCCACATAGATATAAATCTTACTGCAGCTCAGGAATATGCTACCAGTGTATCTAAGTTAAACTGTAATTACAAAAGCTGCAAGTATTTATTTTTCTTAAGCTAACAGGATACAAGATTTTTAATCTCTGTAGCAACTGACATTTAGACAGCAACTATCATGGGAAATGTGATCAATTCAGGAAGATGCT